GAGTGGGCCACTTGGTATGATTTAATTTTAGTGTGAGTAGACAATGGCTAGCTTAGAGCCAAAGTAGACATTTGTTTTTAGAGCTGGGTTTACGTTCCCTGAACCAGACTCGGGTTCCATGAAGCCACACATGAGCTGCCCAACTAGGAGAGCCCAAATAGGCTCCAAATGCTGCCGCAGGGGGGGGAAGGGGCTCCTCTCCCCCCTTCCAGCCATTTTCCATGTGAAAATAGCAGCAGGGGAAAATAATTTCCCCATTTTTGCCACTCCACATGCACAGAATACTCCAAAATAATTCCCTCCCCCCAGCATCAAACATAGCGGTGTTCCGAGGCCAAACAGGCTCTGCTTTATTTTTTAATAGCCGTTCCCTGCAGCTGCTGTGCGGCTGCAAGGGAACCTGAGTAGACTCCTGAGAGAGCAATTGTCTAGTTCGTCCCTTACAAACCCAGGAAAGGCAAATCTGGCACAAGAGAAAAAACAGTGAGAGAAATGGACTCAATCAGACATACCTGGCTGTTACTCCAGGCGTTTTGATATGATTTTGTGCTTTTAGGCACAAAATTCTTGTTGTTTGGCACTCACTGATCTCAGCCTATCGTTTGAACACGTGAAGCTGCCTTATATTGAATCAGACCCTTGGTGTTATCAAGGTCAGTATTGCTTGCTCAGACTAGCAGCAGCTCTCCAGAGTCTCAGGCAGAGAAAGGTCTTTTACATCATCTCCATTCTGATCCTTTTTAACTGGAGAGGCTAAGGTTTGAACCTGGGGCCTTCTGCATGCCAAGCTGATGCCCTACCACTGAGCTACAGCCCCTCCAAAATTACTTCTGCTTCATTGACTATGCTAAAGCCTTTGACTGTGTGGATCACAACAAACTATGGCAGGTCCTTAAAGAGATGGGAGTACCAGACCACCTCACATGTCTCTTGAGAAACCTGTATAAGGGCCAAGAAGCGACAGTTAGAACCGGATATGGAACAACTGATTGGTTCAGCATAGGAAAAGGAGTACGACAAGGATGTATATTGTCGCCTTGCTTATTTAATATATATGCAGAGTACATCATGCGAAATGCTGGCCTGGATGAATCACAAGCGGGAATTAAGATTGCTGGGGAAAAGATCAACAACCTCAGATATGCAGACGATACCACTCTAATGGCAGAAAGTGAAGAGGACCTAAAGAGCCTCTTGCTCAGGGTAAAAGAGGAGAGCGCAAAAGTGGGCTTGAAGCTCAACATCAAAAAAACTAAGATCATGGCATCCGGCCCCATCACTCCTTGGCAAATAGAAGGGGAAGTCGTGGAAGTAGTGACAGACTTCACGTTCCTGGGATCCCAGATCACCGCAGACTGTGACAGCAGCCATGAAATTAAAAGATTTCCTTGGGAGGAAAGTGATGGCGAACCTAAACAGCATGATAAAAAGTAGAGACATCACCCTGCCAACAAAAGTCCGCATGGTCAAAGCAATGGTATTCCCAGTAGTCATGTATGGCTGTGAGAGTTGGACTATAAGGAAGGCCGAGCGCCGAAGAATAGATTCTTTTGAACTATGGTGCTGGAGGAGACTCTTGAGAGTCCCTTGGACTGCAAGAAGAACAAATCAGTCAATCCTCAAAGAAATCAACCCTGACTGTTCCCTGGAAGGCCAGATAATGGAACTGAAGCTCAAATACTTTGGCCACCTAATGAGAAGGGAGCACTCACTGGAGAAGACCCTGATGCTGGGAAAGACTGAAGGTCAAAGAAGACGGGGACGGCAAAGGATGAGATGGTTAGACAGTGTCATAGATGCAACGGACATGAAGTTGAGCAAACTTCAGAGGACAGCGGAAGACAGGAGGGCCTGGCGGGGTCTGGTCCATGGGGTCACGAAGAGCTGGACTCGACTGTGCGACTGAACAACAACACCCATGATTCTCTTCTCTGTGTTAAATTTCATCTCTCAGCACAGGCACCATGAATAACTTGCTTTCACTTCCTCCTGAACAACTAAATCAGGTGAAAAACAAGCTGACACCCTAGCCTCATCCTTTTGCTAAGAAAGTAAGAGAGGGTTTGTTTGTTTTTTAAATGCTGTCATCCAGTTAGCTTTAAATGTCCGTGGACATTTAAACATCCTTGAAAACAAAACGGCATGAAACGATCAGTTCACCACAAGATGCCGTGTACTAGGCTTGGACAATGGTAGAATCTGCATTTGCATTTTAAAATCAGTTTCGTGCTGCTGTGACACCATCTTTTCTATGCTTGTGTGAATGTTGTTTGGAGAAGATTCTTTTAAAGCAGTGGGGAGGCGCAATGACAGTGGAGCCGCCACAGGGTGATAAACATATGTGGACATGCAAAAGTATGCTGGCACTGTGGAGGTGTGAAAACGAAACCAAATGTAGACTGCTTTTTTGAAGACGGACTCAGAAGGCTGGGTCATCGGTGGGAAAGACAAATGCAGATTCGACCAAATATTTGAATGGACAGGAATTCAGATTAACAGCATGGCCTCTCTAGTTAAATTGACCTCCCCAAGACAACTGTGATCGATGAGCTTCCCCTGTCAAGAGCAAAAGTCTCACGATATACATCCTCATTTTTCACTGGTGGCTTGGGGAGGCATCTGATGATAATGTTCTGCATTGGCAATACTAATTTAAGTTTAAGACTCACAGTGGCCTAGTTAGTAAAGTGACATATAGAAAAGATCCTGCAAAAGTTTCCAAATATTTTTAATGGCTCAAAGAAAATATTCAAAACAACTGTAGATTAATAAGGTAAAGGTTTCCCTTGCTCGAAAGCCAGTCGAATCCGACTCTACGGTTGCAGTGCTCATCTCCGTTTCCAAGCCAAAGAGCCAGCGCTGTCCAAAGACATCTCCGTGGTCATGTGGCCGACATGACTATTGAGAAATATGCCAGAGCAATAGAGGTAGCAAGCAGTTACTATAGATCAGTTTGATCTGTTTGTCAGACCTAGCTGTCATGCTAGTAATCATGTAATTACAGCCAGGTGTTTTCTAGCAGGTGTTGCTCTTTCAGGTCTTGTTAGAGTTAGTGATTACATCACCTTGTTAGAGATTGGCTGGGGTTTAGCATAATAGCTATCAGCTTAGTAAACTGGGGAGGGGCTCAGTTCTCATAGACTAAGGAACGACATGCTGTTCAATAGCCTGTAAATATCTCTGTATATATTCACCTTTATAACTATATAAACTCTCTGTGCACCTTCATAACTGGTCAGTCTCCCGCTTCTTATTTACAATACCCAATAATGACCAGACGCTGAGGTGCACAGAACGCTGTTTAATTAGACTGATTACATTAAGCAGATTAATAAGGAACACCTAATACTCGTATGCACTGGTTACATACCAAACAGGAGCAGATTAACCATTAAGCAGACTAGGCACGTGCTTAGGGCACCAGGGCCAAAGGGGGCACCACAAAGTTGGGGAAAGGGTGAATAGCTTGTTTGTACAGTATATTGTGTTATCCTATGAATAACTGTATTGCTGCAACCTGCATTGTCTATCCGGTATCAGGGCCCTGCGGGACTTATTACATTTCCGCAGGGCCTGCAAGACGGAGCTCTTCCGCCGAGCTTTTAGTTGAACCAGCAGACGTCCCGCCCTCTGACTGGCCTCCCATCAGTGTCCTGGATTTGAACAGCCACCTGGGAACCCACACTACTGTTCCATCTTAACTGCTGAGACATTTCATAAGACCTTGCGCAGTATTTTATGACTTTTGTACTGTTTTAATTTTGCTGTTTTAAATTGGTTGCAATTGACCCGAGTGTGCCGCATGACGGAGTGAGCTCCCATCTCTAGTTCCAGCTCCTCCCAACCTAGCCGTTCGAAAGCAAGAAATTGCAAGTAGATAAATAGGGACCACTTCGGTGGGGAAGGTAACAGCGTTCCGTGCGCCTTGGTGTTTAGTCATGCCGGCCACATGACCACGGAGACGTCTTCGGACAGCGCCGGCTCTTCAGCTTGGAAACGGAGACGAGCACCGCAACCCTAGAGTCGGATTCGAGCAAGGGAACCTTTACCTTTACTTTTACAACAGGTTTAGATCAGGGTTCTTTTGTAGGCAATAACGTACCATGGAACGAGAAAGGTGAGTACTGTTTTGTTAAATTTATTTATTTTATTAGATTGAGATACCACCCTCCCCAAATGGACTCAGGGCGGCGTACGGCAGTTAAATAATGCAATTTAAATAGTATCAAAATAAGAATTGGCACGTAAAATACCATGTAAACAGAGAGGTAATCAGATGAACCTTTACCTTTAAGCATTGCTACTGAAACATTGCTAAATCTCCCCCCCCCCTCCTTCTGCGCGCTGTTTTTCCCCCCCTTTGCGGCTTTGATTTTTCCAGCCAAAGTTATCCCCGCAGCAATGGCCCATCTGGTTAAAATGCCGCAGTCAGCCCACGCCGAGAAACCCGAAACCAGACAGACACCGTGGCCCCTCCAATGGCGCCGGAGGAGGAACGGGGCATGCGTCACGCCAGCCTCTCCTCTCTCTCGCTCTCTCTCTGACACTCACGCACGCTCTCTTTGCAAGACCGGGTCGCGGCTCCGGCAAAGACCCAAGCACTACAGCTCCCGGCATGCATCGGGCCCGAAAAGTCGACGAGGCGCCCGCCCGGATGTCCTTCCGTCGCTTTACGCGCGACGGGTCTTCGGGAAGTGTAGTTCTCCCAGCCCGGCGCGAGCAGCGGCGTCTATGGAACTTTGCGGGAGGGGGAAACCACGTCCCGGCGTGCCCCGCGTCATCCGCGCAGAAGGCTGGGCGGCCGCCGCAAGAGTTCGTGCGGAACAGCCGGGTTGGGGGGGGGGACGTTTGCAAGCCGTTTGCCGCCACGGAGGTAAGGAGGTTGCGTAGGGGCCGTGTTCGTTGTCGGCCGGGGAACAGTAGGGGGTATACGCGAAGAGCGCTGCTGGGGCGGAGCAGCGCTCCGTCCAGCCGCCTGTCCGGTTTCCTAGAGTGGCCGACCAGGGAAGCCCAAACTAGGCCACCTTTGCTGTTGCCCCAGCTGGCTAGGACACAATGTTCCCTCTAAGCTGAGTGAGTGTGAGCTAGCTCACCGTTTTTTAGCCTCCTGCTCACACATTTCTGTCTCAGCTCAGGAAGGAGGGCTCCAGAGCAGACTAATTTATGCAGCAGCCCAATGGCTGGCTCACAACTTTAATATGGATCCACAAGGGTTAAGCTGACACTAAATATTATAAAAATACAATGTACACATTTTAAAACTTAGACTCATTAAAAGAATATACCATTCAGACATAGAAAAAAACTATTCAACATTCATACATAGATGGGTTAGTGCTGTGCAACTAAACCAAACGCGTTTCGGCCCCTCAGAGGGCCTTCCTCAGTGGTCACAATTCCAATTACAAATTTGACATACATTCAAAAAAAAATTTCAAAAAGATGTTAAGTACATATGCAGTACAAGGCCAGATGTTGTTTCCTAAATACTTCTGTATTTGTTTATTATTATTTTATAAGATGGGCCTCCAGTCTAGCCAATTACAGTCCACCAATAATTCTGGTAGCAAAATCTTACGTGAATTGAATGTGTACAGGTTGGAGTGACATACATTCAATTCACGGGCCTTCACATCTCTACTCACAACTTTAATGCCAGCAGCTCGCAAAGTAGAATTTTTGCTCACAGGACTCCGCAGCTTAGAGGGAACACTGGACAGGGCCTCTCACCGTGGAGGTTCCGCAGCAGTGCCGGATTTACGCATAAGCTAAATAAGCTACAGCTTAGGGCCTCGCAATCTGCTGGGGCCTCAAATAAAAACACAATATAAAAAAATGATTTCAAATATTAAAAAGGCGTATATATTTTAAATTTTTTCTGAGACCAGCTGATGTAATTTAAAACAGTAGGGGGGGGGGGCTCTGGGTTTTGTATAGCTTAGGGCCTCAGCGAGTCTAAATCCGGCCCTGTTCCGCAGTGTGGCCACCTGGATGCATCAGAACTCCTTTGCAGAAGCTCTCTGAGAGGCCGCCTTTTGGCACAAAGCTCCGTAAAGGGGATGCTGATGGGTTGTGCGTTGCGTTTTCTTTTGGGCCTTCTGAATCTGCTGCCCGTTTGCTGGGGTCAGGGGCGGATGAAGGCACTCAAGGGTGCCCAAAGCACTGACCCAGCTTGGTGCTTCCCCCCCTCCTTTCCACACTGACCCCAGTCCATGTTAGTGGTTGACCTGTCTGACCAGATAGACAATGCAGGTTGCAGCAATACAAAAATGTATTCATTTGTTGTTGTTCAGTCGCACACTCAAGTCCGACTCTTCGCGACCCCATGGACCAGATCACGCCAGGCCTTCCGGTCTTCCGCCGTCCTCTGAAGTTGGCTCAATTTAATGTTCGTTGCATCGATGACACTGTCTAACCATCTCATCCTTTGCCGTCCCCGTCTTCTTTGACCTTCAATCCTTCCCAGCATCAGGGTCTTCTCCAGTGAGTGCTCCCTTCTCATTTGGTGGCCAAAGTATTTGAGCTTCAGTTTCATTATCTGGCCTTCCAG